CCACAGTGACACTGATATGTCTCATGATTCTTGTCATGTTCCAGACGTTTATGCCTTGCTAAACTTACAGCTTGTTTATATTGTTTCCCACAGTGGCAGGGGTATGTTGCATGTATGGCAGGCATAGTTCTGTGTACACCTGGAAATAACATCTCAGAATTCTTATTACATCTTGATCCCTCACATTAATTATACAATTTTTCTTGTAGCAAATTAATTTAATAAACTGATAATTTCCAATTAGTATTCTATGTTTGTTATTTACATTTCATATCATATATATAAAAACATTTACATTGATTGTGAATGTAAATCGTATGTGCATTACTATATCCCAAGTATACTCAAACTAATTTAAGGCTATCAAACAAAGTTTACTCACTTTCACTGTAGCAATATAAACCCTATTAATTATTAATCCGTGTAGTCTGAATCTGATTGTTGTGTTTTCGTGTTGAGTGATATTATCTAAAGTCCAAGCCAGCCAACAGTCTGTCTATTGTGTCCTTATTGTAGTATTTAATTCTGTATTTCCTTCTATTTCCTCCTCCAGTTTTAGGTCTTGTACCCAGGTGATTCCATCAGCAGAATGAAGAAAAATTGAAACGTAATGTCTTTTATAATGATTTGATCTGAAATGTATCAGCCTCGTTATGATATAATGATTTCATTGGATAATACTAATTACAAGAGGGTAATCCCCTTAAAATCCAGTTTAAACAAGTTTGGTTTTTATACTGAATAATCGTTTGAATTAAATCCTCATAAAATTCATAAAATTAACTGTTATTTGATACTTACCTTATCTACATACTCACCCCATACAATCCTTTATATGTTGCCTTTCGAATTTTCTAAATAAATTAATTTTATTTAAAAATATTCGACTGTTTAATTTTCACATCCATGCTATTCTGTGTACTGTCCACGTATGGTAATGTATCATAGACGATGTACTATAACAGTACATATCATACATACTCCCCGGCCAGGCTATCTTACATTGAACCTGATAATCAGTATAAGTGATTTAAGGCTGCATGTTAGTCTAAAAATAGTTAGCCAAGTGGTCTTATCAGATATCCAAACAAACACATCTTGGCGGTAAATCAAATAGCTAAGGTCAATAAAAAGTACCAGTATTAAGAAAGTTCGGTAATAATTAACCGACCGTCGGTGGCCTAGTGGTTAAGGCGTCGGACTAGTAAACTGGCGCCCTGGGTTCGATCCCTGGTTGAACCGACAGAAAGCCTTTTATTAAAATTCCTAATAACTGTTGAAAATCCCCGGGAATTGTGTGTACCTGGGGGCTTAGCGAAGCTTAGCGAAGCTGCCCCCAGGGGCCCCCAGGAAATCCGGTTATCTCTCTCCTTTAGACTACTACTCATGTCATGAGAAAATGGTTGATTGACTAAACTTCATACATATCACAGCATATACATATTCAATTTATATCATCTTTTTTAAACGAAGGTCGTGGCAATCCGTTGAAAGTCGCATCGTTGCTTTACATATTTTAAGACATTCTGGTTTTATTGTACAGAGACTCCATCACACACTTGGTTGAAAACGTCCTAGAGATGTATTTACTGGGAAGTTTTGGGTATAGGGTGTATCCTGAGGGATATATTTATTTATCCCATACTTGGACGTGTAACGGGTACATAAAACCGGTTTGTAAAAACTTATATTTTCATCAGCGGGCAGATATAGCTTTACGTCCCGCTCCGAGCGGGCAGATATAATATATCTGCCCGCTACGTCATAATCGCTGTTCCCGTATTGGTTCTTTTTTGTAACATTCGCATACTGTAAACGACAATGGAGAAAAACGCATACAATCTCGACCTGTTTGGTGCTTTAAACAAGGGAAGGAGCAGTATTCCCGGTTAATAATCAAAGATTTGAACAGGAAAATCCGGCTACGGACAAGAATACAAAACTGGACATGAATATTTTAAAATAATTCCACGGTTGGTTGCAAAGTTTCTTAACTTTGGCCAATTGATCAATGTGATTGGTATGGGATAAACATATCCTATAGTCGGTTCAGGATACGGCCCTCGGGCAGATATATTATATTGGCCAAGGGATAATCCCAATATCCTAAACCTCATATAGGATAATCTCTATATCTCCCCGAGGGACCGAGTGATATACTCTATATCCAAAACCGACTGTACATAACTGGTGTATCTCATACTTGAGTGGGTTTGGGGTTCCACCTTTTCAGATGACAAGAAAGGCTTATACTGTAAAAGCACAATTTATATTTAACATTTTCGTAATATTCCTTTCGTTCAATATAATGAAATTGAAACATTTAAGCTTTTAAAAAAACTTTTAAAGTTTAAAACTTTGAATTTAAATTGTTTAAACTTTTAAACTTTTGGAGCAGGATGAATATATTATATCTGGGATTATCCCGAGGCCAACATAATATATCTGCCCGAGGGCCGTAGGTCCCGAGGGTAGACATATTATATAGGCCAAGGCCAATCTTTAAATTATTTTAGATGCATGTTCAGTTTTGGTTTTTTGGCCGCATTTTCCTGTTCTTTCAGATATTCATCCACATTTATTTTCTCGAATCTTTGATTGTTAATAGGGATATGTACGCTCATTCCCTTCTTTAAACCATCAAACAGATCGGGATTGTCTGGTTTTCTCCATTGTCGTCTACAGTTCAGTTATTATGCGAACGTTACAAAAAATGAACCCATATTCGAACGGCGATTATTACGTAACGGGCAGACATACTATTTAACCCATACTTCAGTCTTGGACGTGTTACAGGTACATAAAGCCGGTTTGTAAAAACTTATATTTTCATCAGCGGGCAGATATAGCTTTACGTCCCGCTCCGAGCGGGCAGATATAGTATATCTGCCCGCTACGTCATAATCGCCGCTCGCATATTTGTTCATAATCTGTAACGTTCGCGTAATGACTGTTAAATACAATGGAGAACACACAGACAATCGGGATCTGTTTGATGGTTTTAAAAAGGGAAGGGGCATCCACTTAATCAATCAAAAAATTCGAGAAAATAAATGTGGGAATATTTGAGAGAACAGGAAAATCCGCCCACGGTGAAGAAAACAAAACTGGATATGAATATTCTAAAATATTTCCACGATTGAACAATGTGAACCAGATGACCAAGATTGGTATGGGATAAACATATTATCCTATAGTCGGTTCAGGATATTTGGATTATCCCTTGGCCAATATAATATATTTTCCCTCGGGACCTGCGGCCCTCGGGCAAATATATTATATTTGCCTCAGGATAATCCCAATATCCTGAACCTCATATAGGATAATCTCTATATATGTCCGCTCGGAGCGGGACGTAAAGCTATTTCTGCCCGCTGATGAAAATATAAGTTTTTACAAACCTGCTTTATGTACTTGTAACACGTCCAAGTATGAGATAAATACATTACGCTTCGTCATAATCGCCGCTCGCATATTTATTTGTAACGTTCGCGTAATGACTGTAAAAAATATAAACTCCTATGATTTACTCACTATAAGTAAAGGATAATTATGAAATGTGTCGCCGAACCTTTCAGCGACTTATCGAGTCATGCCCAAATAAAGGCATACACTTGAAATTCATACAAATACATTTTGTACTTCCTATTTCTTGGAAACTCAGGGTGTGTCCATATGATATATTTGGATAGATAACTCTATAGTGTCATCCAATTTCCATCATAGGAGCACATAGGTGTAATTTTACATCTAAACTTGAAAATCCCCTTACAAATGATTAATAACAAGTACTTTGAAACCAAAGGTTATCTAATTCTTTGAGTTTTTGAGTGTCCAATTCAGAATACTCAGAATGTTCCAAAAAATATTAAACTAAATGACGAGAGAAAATATTAACTTACCGAGAGCAGTAATCGGAAGTAGGTCACGCACTGATAGACGGTGAATAATCAAAAAATAATCAAAAATGAATTCTTTATGGACTCTGTTGATGGTGCTTTGGATATGGTTGTTACCAATGGAGTTGGCAGTAGATGCTTCATCGGATTCTGGTATGTCATTGTTATCCATGTAATAATTGTTGTCAGAGGAATCAGGTAGCCATCTGTTAGATGCATTAAATGTCATACAAACATTGTGTCAATTATGGCTGTTCAAATCTCGACACAACTCATTCTCACTTTTCTAATGTAAATGTTATTTTTCTCGAACGGCGGACGACAAAGGAGGTAGAGGAAAAGTATCGCAACATATTTTGGACAGTCATATGTTGGATTTGGGCTATTTTCTGAGGATTTAAACAGGTGCATATGTTAGACCAATGTATTACCTCCAGGAAAAGCACTCCTAGAGATGATAAATCCATCAGATAAAGTTGAAAACAATATTTCCCATGTTATTTTCCCATAGGGAAAACTCATGCGATCTATTGCTTTCAGCTAATTTTCCACGAATGAATCACTTATTCCTTTGAAGGGGTTAACTGTGTGTCAAAACGCAACATATATTGATGTAACAAAAATTAAAAAAGCAGAGATGGAAGGGGCTGAAAATCAGAACAACATTTCAGAAAAACATGTGGGTGCGTTGTTTGCATCTTCCCTGTCTCAAAGTCGAAATTATTTTATCATCTCTTTGAGTGGTTTTTCCTGGAGGTAATGCATCGATCTAACTGAACCTGTTTAAATCCTCAGAGAATAGCCAAAATCCAACATATGACTGTCAGATATCTGTAAAGATTTACGTCGTCGTAAAGAGAACGCGATTCACGATTTTTTGGCGAAATTGTAGTTTACATTTAAAATTCAAAGGATGGTCAATAGTGGCTCGATTTTCATGCTAATCTTCCTTTATCAAATACGGTCGACCTTCCATCAATCCATTTAGTTGAACCAATTTTGAGAATTATATTGTATTGAAGATGTAAGATTGTCAAAAATATCTGATATATTTCGTTTTGCAAGTTCTCATTAATGTAATTTCAGATAATTGTTACTTCGGAGACTTTCTACTAATAAGAAGACATTATTACCATCCCCAATGTAGAGTCATCTTAAGGCTCTATGGGGCATGGTCTCTCAACTCTAAGGAACCTTGCTTGGAGAAAGCCTGTAAGTTGAATGGCAATGTTGTCCACTACAGAAGCAGACGACACTGTTTTATATTCAGATGTGGGGTGAACTCGGACGGCACTGATTGGGAGTATCAATGGAGAAGACATCGATTATGGGGATTAGTATACGCCAAACCTCATAGGTCCAACCCAAGATGCCACAACTCATACTTTATGAGAAGAACATGGAATTCAGAGAGCTATTCCGAATGTTCCAGCATCGGAAGTTACAGTAGCTTGCGTCCCAATGTAGCCCAGACGTGCCTAGCCCAATGAGGTGTTTTACGAAATATTGTAAGTGGAATTCAACAACTGGTGATTACATCTTCAGGCTTGGTACTGCGTCTGAAAGGGTAGACGTTTATGCTCTAATGCACACTGAGCAGTGTAACGCAATACCTCCACCAATACCAACACCAGCAAAGTATGTCACATCCTGTCATATGACAGGGTATTTCTCAGCCCCAAGCCACCATCTCACAGACATCCTCTGCAGATCTCGTTCAAACACCTTCATCGAGGATGGCGGGAATGAGGTAAGGAGCCATCGTTGCTATAGTAACCAGGAAGGAACGGGATGGCTGATGCACGCTGATCACAATAATACATGCTTCAGTCGGGTACAGAACAATAAAATGTTTATCTTGCCATATCCAGGTACACCAAACTGTAGAGGCAATCAGATGTACGTTATCAAACGATTGAAACAACACTGCCAAAAGTCAACATGTTCTCCTCTTGGTACCGCGAGCGTCGCACGTGACCTCAGACAGTGTATGCTATTTGCATGTGATGCTGGTGCCAATGTTATTAATTATAGAAGTGCCAACGCTGGAGTAGCACTCCGGTGTGAAATGAGATCGTGTCGTTTATCTCCTAATGGTGAACCTGACCTTGTCCTCAGTGGTGGATATAGAGGTTTTGAGGTTTATGCACTGCATCTTACCACTTTAACTCCAACTACCTCCACTCCTACTCAACCTTCTACCACTACAATGAGTACAACCACTACCCAAGTCATAACAACCACTACAAATACCGCTACATCTACTGTACAAGTGGTAAATGAATCAACTGCAACGCCATCGAACAAGACGAATCGATATGATGCTAGACTTGCGAAATATCAACAGGAAAACACAAGCTTGAGAACTGCAACAATTGTATTGGGGACCTTATTATCTCTGTGTTTCGTGGCGGCTCTAATAGCCTGCATCATGCTGACAATACGAAAGATTGCCAGTAAACCTAAGACGACATCTCAATGTGTTGACCGAGATCATGCCAAAGAATATGTCAACCAGTCTATGGACCATGATTATGTAAATGAGGCGCATTGCGTCAGAGACGATGAAGATGACTATCAGGATCCAATTCAAAGAGAGAGAAATATTTACGTTGTAGATGATCATGATTATGAACTTATCGGTGTACCAAGGCCCTCATTGCCTTTAAAACCAAATTTCAAAACAGTTTTTGATAACTTGAAATCGTCCGAGCAACGAACAAGCCAATTGTAGGTCCAAATATTGATTCAATTTGCGTTCAAAAAACCATCAACACATGTTTGTATTGCTTATTGTCAGGAATATGAGGTATATATTAATCTCCATGACTACATAGAGAATACCTGAACACATACGTACAGTACCTCAACAGGATTTAGAAGTAATTGCAACTTGGCATTGTATAGCTCACACTGAAAAATTCTTTGAACGTGTAAGGACAATTAAGGCAGATCATCACTCCCCAAAAATGGGAAATTGTTATTCCACTTCGCTTATTAAAAGATACATGTGACCTCTAAAAGTTTTAAATAATTCACGATATTTCCAACAAAAAGCCCTTCAAAAACCACTTTTTGAAATCAAAAAAAAGTTTCACATATCACATTTTGATAACATTGGGTTAGACTACAATATAAGCTAAAGTGATTTAAACTTTAAATTTGGGCACAACGTCCCATTAATAGACATAATTCGAGTTGTGGGCCTTCCACTTCTCGGATCATCATCCAAGATAAAGTCGCCAGTCTAAAGTTGCCAGTCAAGCTTCTTCTCTCATCTCCTTCGGGTTGGTGTACTTGGCGTAAAGTGTTTGTATACTAGTCTTGCTTCGAGACTGTGGACTACCCTTATCTACTTCTCCTACACCAATGTGTAAAGTAGATAAGGGGGGTCCGGGGTCTTGAAGCAGGACTATTCGTATACCTTTGCCAGTGGCATGAGTTAATGTGGGTGTATTACGCTATATATTACGCTAATGCCTGCAATTATTTAGAATCCCTTGCCAAAATGGCTGTCACTTTGACAAATTGTTGAAGCTGTGCCTTTGGTTCCAATGTCAGTTGTTCCTTCAAGCATAGACTTCAAATGACTAGATTAGAAGTGATTAGAAGTCCAGGCTTCAAGTATGTCAGAAACATTATAATATCATAATACAATTGTATTTTGTCATTCGGGGATATTTCTATGAGGTTTCATGGTGCATTGAATTAAATGAAATCGATGTTTTGTTTGTTTTAACGAGCCTTTTGTGTAGATAAAATACTATATAATAAGACCTGCCCCAACCCTCTGTCCCTTGGTTGCTATAGCAACCATATAACACGAGACAGTTTACAAGACAACACAGGGAGGATAAATGAATCCCCAGTTTCAGCAGGAATAGATAAAATTTAATGAATGAGAGCAACGATTTCAAGACTTTTTGGACAACCCTCGTATGCCAAGAAATATGATGTAAGAATAATTCTTGATGGATCTTTTTCGGAGACAATTTCTTAATTTTCTGTTGTTCAAAAATATTTCACATCAAGCCAGCCCCGGTAGCAGTTTGAGGCGACCGTCGGGGTGTTATAATTTCAAAAAAGTCGTAATCCCAGAATTATATTCGCGCAATTTGACGAACACATTCGACGATATCATTCATTTAGACATTCATTGACGCATTTACATAAAGAATGGGTGTCGATATGGCGAACTTTTTGAACACACGTTTCTCTTAAACCAATCATCAAAAATTTCTGAAAATCTTACAAATTGCCAATTCAATGGCCATCTTTTGAATGGTAACAATATAATTTGAAATAGATATACATACTTTCATCTATATTGTTTTAAAAAATACATCAAACACTTGTTTTGTTCTTGGTACCATGTTTCCAGAGTGAAATGAAACATCTTTCCGAACCTCATTGGAACAAAACGACATAAACACAACATGTTTAGGTCTCTCAATATTGTAATTGTACAAAGGAAATTTTGGTTCATTTTAAGAAAGTATCTTGTTAATGAAATAAAAGTCTTTTTTGATTTTTTATCTATTTTGGGGGGATTTTGTTTTAATTTTGAATACTTTTTTAAAATCAACCAAAAACTCCTTTGTATAACTTTAATATTGAGAGATCCAAAAACATGTTGTATATGCTATTTTGTTCCAACAAGGTTCGGAAAGACATTTTATTTCATTCTCAAGAATTGGTAGAAAGGAGCAAAAACTATTGCACTAAAAAAAACAAAAAATGTTAACAAAAACAGTACAGTTTCTAAATAATTTTCGCATTAAATTGTTGTCATTCAGTCAACATTACATAAAATACCATGTTTTTTTACAGAATGTTTCAATGATTGGTTTAAGAGAAAAACATTGTTGAATTTAGTTCTCCATATCGATACCTAACCTTTATGAAACTTACAATTTACACATCGTGTTATTCTTGCCTCCATTCTTTCTATGTAATACACCGGTTAGATAGTATTCCAAAACAAACAATATGAATCTACAACTTAAAATTAAAACATCGTAAAATAAGTAGATATTTTGTTGGATCTGCCAGATTTTGAAATCAATTTGGCATAAACTGCAACTAAGATCTGTCAGATATTAGCATACACACCACAGCATTACTAGGAACGTATCAACAATCATTCATACCTTCTTCGATATGAACCTTTCTGGCGAGACTCATTTATTCATGATAAAAACTGAAATGGATATTTATGTGAACTATCGAGACATTTTAGCCCGTCCTCTTGCATCCGACTTCGAAGAATAAAAAAGACCGAAAGACATTCACCATAAAAATCGAGACGGATTGGAGGCCGTTATTCAAGCTCGATACTCTATATACTCTGTACTCTACTTTTAACGCCGTAATAAATACTTTTAACGCCGTCAAAAACGATTTTATACGCCGTCAAAAACGATTTCATACGCCGTTAAAAATTACTTTTAACGCCGTCAAAAACAATTTTATACGCCGTAAAAAATAACTTTTAACGCCGTCAAAAATTCATTTTGAACGGCGTCAAAAACGATTTTGAACGCGTCAAGAATTGTAATGTGACACGTAAATTACGTCTTAGCTGGCAGCCAATTAAAACCAGCGTTACAATCGTCCTTACTTTTGACCACGCGTAAAAATGCATTTTGAACGGCGTAAAAAATGATTTTGAACGCGTCAAGAATTGTAATGTGACACGTAAATTACGTCTTAGCTGGCAGCCAATTAAAACCAGCGTTACAATCGTCCTTAAATTTGGCTACGCGTAAAAAGCATTTGAACGGCGTAAAAAATGATTTTGAACGCGTCAAGAATTGTAATGTGACACGTAAATTACCAGCGTTACAATCTGTGTATCCGTTGAACAAACGAACGTGTATGTTCGACTTATCGACTCATTGAAATAAATCCAAACCCCTATTTTTCTGTTAATGTATGTCACATTTATCATTTATATTGGCATTTTTATTTGCGAGGCGCATTTGGTTGTATGGAAGACATAAAAACTGTCCCGGGAATTTGATATACATCGAGTTTTCATTGGATAAAATGAAAAATGGCTGATAGTGAAATAACTGAAAATGGGGCAACGGTAAACAACGTACTTGGTGTCATCCAGCTGTCTGTTTGAAAAGATTGTTTTAATTGGTTGTGCAAAATCGTTTTTTACGCCGTTCAAAATAATTTTTTAACGGCGTAAAAATTCAATTTCGACTCCGTACAAATTGATTTTTAACGGCGTAAAAAATCAGTTTTGACGTCGTTCAAAATGATTTTCAACGCCGCATATAATTATTAACGGCTTAAAAATAATTTCTAACGGCGTAAAAAATCAGTTTTGACGGCGTAAAAATAATTTTTAACGGTGTAAAAGATAATATTTCACGGCGTAAAAACAGTTTTGACGGCGTACAAAATCGTTTTTAACGGCGTTGAAAGTAATTCTTTTCGGCGTATGAAATCGTATTTACGGCGTTAAAAGTAGATTTTACGGCGTTAAAAGTATGACGATACATTGGTCCAGATGGCCAGCCATAAATTTAGTCCATGGTATGAAATCTCTAGGACGTCTAATAAAGGAGCTGGTAGCACACTATATAGCGCAGTGATATTTTACCTTATATTAACATACCTACATATGTTCCCTAATAATTTTTATTATAACCGTTTAATATACTTCCGGCTTTTACGCTGAATTATGCCTGCCATTAACAGAGGTCAAAAAATTACCAAAAAATAAAATCCAAATTTTTCACAATTTGGAGTACACAATGCAACAGAAAATAATACAAAATGATTTTGAATATATGATTTACGTTTCTAAGCTATAAATTCGAGGAATTATATACTGTATAAGTGGTATTTAATCCGAGTGGTTAATTTTCCGAATGGTCAAATTTCATCATTTTCCTAATTTTAATTTTCCTAATGACAAGAAACCTCCCATTGGATAACATTATAAAGACAATATTTCCGACATTTAATTTTCCGAACCTGGCAAAAATTAGGAAATAGGTAAATTAAATGATAAGGCAAAATTACCACTTATACAGTAATCAGTGTATCGACGTTTTGTATTGTTTCTCATGTATTAATAAGATGAATGCTACAAATAAATCACTTTTATATTAGAATGACAAATGCTTAAATTATGCTAGTTTATCACAAAATGGGTCTCAATACATTTTGAGATTATGTACTTTTATTCAGAGGTGAACATTATCAATAAAGGTAGGCCTATTGCTCTTCCTTGACTAATTGGGACTACAGCTAAAATTCTATTTCTCGTAGTTAGATATAGCTCAGTTGCTTATAAAACAACCATCAAGACTTGGTCGAATTCATGAATAATTGAGAAAAATCGTTATCATTATCTTCCTAAAATTTGATTGTATCCAGCGGTAAGGTCAAAGAAGAAAGAACCATCAGAAAACTTGATGATAGCCACAAGTAACGTCGAGGAACAATTGTAAGGCATTCGATTGCATATGCCCCTTATTGATTATTAGACATGCCCTTGGAATATATGAACATTCCAATACCTCTGTAACATTTTATAAGATATAAATCTTACCTTTTTGTTATTGTATTATGTTTTATAAAAACATGAACAATAATTTGTTGTAAGACCCCTTGCGATTATATGGAAAAATTCTGGTAACAAAGTGTTTTAAATTGTAAGAAAACTAATATGTTCCCAATCATAAATTACCTATATATTCCACACAATTTTGTTAAATCGGCTTGGCTCATATTTGAAAAATCAAACAAAATCTGAAAAACACACTTGCGTAATTACACTAATTAAACACCGACATACAGTAAAATTACTTATATTTTTAAATTATCATAATCTATTTTTTGTTCGTATGCTTAGAATAACGGTCTGTGTCTTATAAAATGTATAAAAGTTCGAATCAAAATATTTTCGTTTTTGACCCCTTGTGATGAAATACATTTTTCG